CAAGGTAGATGATACTTTGCAAGGGAGTATCGTGAGACGGTGGATTGTGTTCGGGAATCTTGGGTTCAATAAGTGCGTGCTTGGGATTTGTCGCTACTCGAAAAAATGCAACGACGGAGAGACGAGAACGAAAGACAAAAGAGTCACCATCGAACTTTATTTATCCCATAAGGGTAAGGGAAAACATCGAGAAAACCCTAAGATGAAAAACAGATAAGATGGTCTCGCGATCAAAGAACGGGTTCAGAAGCCGGTTATGCGAAGGGAAGGTATTAGCATCCATTGTACTCGATGGAAACCATTTGTTTGTCTATGTGAAGGTACCTGCTAAAAGATTATTTCCATAAAGAGTATTTCAAAGGATAAATAGAAGGGCTAGAAACAGGGAAAATTGAGGAAAGAGACTCGATAGGACTTCGCGGTCCTAGGCCTACGTATTCTCAACAGATATGAGAAAGTCAGAGTCAACGTAGCTCGGGAAACTATGGGTGATGGGGGGAAGGTGTGCTCGCCAAGACATCATCGTCTTGTGCCTACGTATCCTCATCTGGTATGAGAAATCAGAGCAAATGTAGTTCAGGTAACTACGAGAAAGGTCTCGATCGCACTAGGGCGAGAGAATTTTTTTTGGATAATCGGTTGGTCTCAATTGCACTGAGGCAAGAGAAAAGGGAAGTTAGTTGTTAGTGTGCTCGTCAAGGATAGAGATCCTCGTGCCTACGTATCCTCATTAGGGAATGAGAAATCAGAGCATCCGTAGTTCGGCCTACGGTTAACTGGTGTTTTGTGGAAGATGCTAACGTATGCATTTTAGCAGTTAGGTGTATTGTAGCTCGCTTGTGGAGTCTTAGGCGTTACCTGTTTGTGATAGAACGGACGTAACATATCCTTTTTGAAAAGAGAGTTTTCGCCGTCGAGGCAAGATGTCACATTTGATTTTGTGGAAGTTGTTGTTTTTAGGGGTGAAATAGATCCTTGGATAGTAACCCCTTGCAGGTAGTACCCAATTCTTTATCTCAAAATATTTATTGTGAAATGGTGTGGCGAATATAGTCACGTCTTCATATTGAAAGACGAGTATCGAGACCGCACACCCTATAGTGAGCATCCTAACACTCGAAGAGAAAGAAGTCGACACTTAATCCTCTCTCTTTAGTTTAATATATAGTGGACTTCATTCTTTTATTAAAGATGTTTTTGATCTTGGATGATAAGTGCTTTACGACAGTGAATCCTAAAGGTAATTTCAAGCACTCGGGATAGGAGAAGGCCTACGCCTAACCACTCCACAACCATCCAAGTTTATTTGGAAAATGCACTTGGTACGAGACCAAGGTTTTAAGAGAAAAGTTATGAAAAGAATGGATGTTGAATTGGTTTAACAGTTGTTTGAGAAAATCCGTTTGATGTTGGATCAAGGGTTTGATTGCTTAAAAAAGTTTGAGGTGATGCGAACAAGGTTGATGGCGATGCACAAGGCAATTGACTTACAAGGTCAAAAATGGCTTGATAAGAATCGACAGTTTATTTTAAAAATAGTTTTTTTTGAACTAAAAGTCAAGGATGACCGTAATAATATCCACATATAATGGTCGTACAACCACATCGGGTTAATCGGCTTGAAAATATGAATAAAACAAGACATGAAAAAAAACAAGCATCAAGAAGTTCGCCGTGCGAACTTCTTGAAATTTTTTTTTTGAAAACTAAGGAAAGTTCGCTGTGCGGACTTCTTAGGATTTTTCAAATCAGTACACTATTCACAGAGGCAAAAGGCACTGAAGTTCACTGTGCGAACTCGCCAGCGAACCTCACCAAGTTCGCTGTGCGAACTTCCTAGCGAATACACACTATTCACAAACAGAGGCGAAAATGACCAAAGTTCGTTGTGCGAACTTGCTGGCGAACCTGCCCAGAAAAACATCAAGAAGTTCGTTGTGCGAACTTCATGCTATTTTGCCCAGAATATGCCTTTTTCATAGAAACAGAGGGGAAAGGGGGCAAAGTTCGCTGTGCGAACTTACCAGCGAACATGACAACATTTTGAGATTTTTTAAGTGTTCTCACATCTCTCTCTACAAAACTCACTCTTGTTTTTTACAATAACTAATCACTCTTAAACTCTCATTAAAAACATATGTATCCACAAATACTATGCTAACTAACAACAAAGATAAAGTGTGCAACAACCATGCAAGCATACAAAAGTATATACAATGAAATATAAAGAGAGTAAGATTCAAAGAAATGGATACCCAAGAGTTGCTACTCTCCTTCTAATCACCACTGTTGTTTTGTTGGATGTATTTCTTCTTTCACTCTATATTTCTATCTCTCTGTTTCTGTTTTTCTTTTTTAAAACCCTTTTGTTCTCAATGTCACTTTTCTTTCCTATTTTTTCTGGTTTCCTTTTTTCCTATCTTTTGCTCTCTATCTATGCCTCTTCTTTCTCTCCAATTGAGCTCTCTTTTTTCTACTGCTATTGCTTCTCTTTTATAGCCAAAACATTGGGGTTTGCACATGTTTTCAAACTTCAAAATTTCTACACTTAGAAATGTCCAATGCCACTTTCTTGGTGCACCATTTTCCTCTCCATTTCTAGAAGTCCTACTCTTTTCTGCTGCACTTTTGCTGCTATACCAAAGTATTAGAGTTTGCACATGCTTCAAGTTTTAGAATTTCTACTTGGAAATGCTTATTACCACTTTCTTGGTGCAACCCCATTTCTTTCCATTTCTAACATGCTGCTTTTTCTGCATTTGCTAGTGCACTTTCCTAGTGTTGTTTTTTCTGTATTGCTCTCTTTTATTCACTTGTTCTTGGGCTGTCCTTGTGGTCCATGCTTCTCCCCTTGACAGAATTTTGAAAATCTGAATTTTGGTATGTATGTGGACCGACATGATCTAGTCCCTCAAGTTTTGTGACATGGTTTGTTTGGTTGGGAATTAGTTGGTCATGGGGGTTGTTTTAGATCACATTGAAATTGCCTTGAATTTGCCCATGGCTAAGCACTAATGGTCTTGATCTTGAAATGTTCCAATGTTGCATTAAACCTTAATTGTTTTCCTTGGATGTTTGTAGGCTTATTTGGTTATGAATCATGTGAAGGCATAATGTGGAACATGTAGACTTAATGAGGCATGAAGGGTACTATAGCATGAAGTTGATTAGAAACTTGAGTCAAGATTAGAAATAGCTTAATTTTCTAAGCATTGCTTAAAGTTGGAAACTTTGTAACAAATGTGACATTCTTGCAATGTCATGAAATTTCCCTTTATAATAATCTTGAATTTAATCTTGAATTCATGAATCTTGAATTTGGAATGATGGATCTCCCTTATGCCATTGAATTTGAAATGGATGAAGTCTTGAATTATGAACTTGTGATCTTGACTCATGTCTTACAAATTTGAATTCCACTCGAACATAGAATTTGAAACAAAGTTGGATGAAGAAATCTTGAATTAGGCCTTGCACTTCATGTTCATTAGGAATATTGATCTTAAATTACAATCTAATAATGATGCAGATAAACGCAAAGCAAAAGTCAGTTAAGGTTAGAAAAAGGGAGGGCAAATTTTGGGGTGCTATAGGAACAGGTGGATTGAAGCGGCATTATTGGTGAATTGATCAAACATTGATTAAAAGTTCTAGAGGTGGTAGAATCAACAACAAACCATATATATATATATATACATATATATATATATATATATATATATATTATATATATATATATATATATATATATATATATATATATATATATATATATATATATATATATATATATATATATATATATATATATATAAAATTTTTGTTTTTGCAAATTATCAAATCATTTGTTGTTTTGATCAATTCGGTTAGAAATCAACTTTTTGATTATGTTTTGAATTACGGTTTGTTGATTTAATCATAATCACTTTGATTGTGATTGGCTTTAACATCAACAAATCAAATTAAATTTCTAAACGTTATCGATTGCACACAAGGTGTTTGATAAATTGTCTTATGTGCTTTTAATTGATTTTTGATCATTGGAAATAAGTTCTACGTGTAGCTTAACATTTAACTGATTTGTGATTAGTCATTGTTGAACAATTTGTATTCGTTGGTTCGGTTTGACGATTCGATCCAGGTTGTTTTCACTGCTGTGCCATAAAACTTTTGAAAATCATTTTTGCCAAAAGTTCAAATTTTAAATTTGTGATCTATTAATCGAAGCCTATAGTCTAACAATAACACGATTCAACACTAGATTTAGCTCTCGCTCACAAAGCCGAACCACGACTCTGATACCACTGTTGGGAAGTCTGGTAGAGTCGGAAGCACCAACGAGACTAATGCTCCAAGACCACAAAAGAGGGAGATACCATATCTCAACCCAAATCGTAAGGTGTTAGGTAAATGAGTCATTTTTTTATGAAAGAGAATAACAACAATTAACCTCTCTCAACAACCTGAGAGAACTAATATATTTATAAAATACTAAGCTAACTTGGGCTACAAGTTAACTTAACAATTGAGTTTACAAGCAAGACCCAATTCGACATGTTAACTTAAATACAAAACTAATATATTTCAACAACATTCTTAAACAAACTTCGACTATAACATACACAACTACTGTCAAACTATAAAATTACCTTTATCGAAGTTCGATCCAAATAGATACTAAAGTTCGATTCAAATATCTAAACTTTCATAGTATATTCTACATTCTTTTGCTGTTTTTTTTTTATTGTAATTTCTTATATTTTATCATAATATGGCTCTTGAAAAAAAGAGATAAGAAATCTGTTTAAATATGTGCTTTTTTGACATGCTTTAAGTGCTACAGTATAAATTTTTTTAAAAATCATGATGCAAAGCAACGGGAACTGTTGCTCCATTATCTGTGTAATTACATATTATAAAAATAACAAACCAAAGAAAAGAATATAGCAAAAATTATAATATGAAATAAAAACCACTCTTTACATTTTCAATAACTTGTTTCACTTTCTACCCCCAATTTTACGTTTCATGTCAACCGGAGCTGGACTCCTTCCTGTCTTATTTGAGACAACTTTTGATTGTTTCAATGAAGGTGAAGGACCAAGAGAAGATTGAACAAAACTCTTGCTGAAAAATTAATAAAAATTTATTAATATCCAATAACTAGATAAAGAAAAAGAAAATCTGAAACACTTTTACATTACCTTAATTGTGGGCTTTTTGTTGGCTTTGAGACGGATTTCATAATAGACTTTGATCCAATTCCATTGGTCAAACCAGTAAGTCTAGAATGATTGAATTGCCAAAGCAAGTCAGGTTCTGAGGAATCACTGGTTGCGGCATCAATCTCATCCATGTTATCATCTGAAGCCATAATGCTATTAAACTGGTCACCTCCCATGAACATGTTATAGGACTGTTCTGAATACATTTTGGAAGAATCTTGGAGATACGTTTGATAAAAGGCGTCGGATAAGTTTCCATTGCTTTCTTGCCAACAACCCAAGAGGTTGTTGTCAGTTTTGTTTGCTTCTAGTTTGTTTACCATTACCTTATCAACCCATTCTCCGGAACCGGTTTCTTTCTCATCCTCAATGTCATTTTGTACAAGACTATTTATTGGGGGCCAGGGTGGTGAATTTACTGATATCTCGTCAAAATCAACACTTTTAGTTTTCTGTCTCAAAATGGTTTTACTCTGAAGCTGCAAGAAGATCATATATATGAGTTCAACATGGAATAGTAATAACCAAACAAATTTTGCTTTATGAAATAATAATTTCAAAATCTAATATCAAGAGTACATAAAATCTTGACATACATACCTCTATGTTGCCAACTTCAACCATTGGTCGCCTGTAACCAAGTTGGTCGCCTGAGTCTACAACCGGCTGATTTAAATGATAAGGGGATAGCTCAGTCTTAATTCTATATTTTTCAGAGCTTCCAGAAAAAGAATGTTCTGATTCCCCTTCTTTTTTTGCCAGTGCTACTTTAAGGCTGGCAATCTAAAACATGATTAAATAGTTAGACTAAGATGTAATTGAATTTAAAAAATTATGATGAAGAATCAGAGATGTTAGATTTGAATATTAACCTGTTCTTTGAGCTCTTTAACATTTGCACTATCTTTATTTACTCGAGCAGCACCAAGTTCAACTGTCGCAACTCTTTCGGCAAATTTTAAAGTACTAATTGTTTCTCCAACTGCATCACTTTCTGGACTTATGTGAACAAACATCAGGGTCTTAGCTTGTCCTCCTGAAGTAAATTCACCAAAGTTATGAGAATTCAAACAATCGCATCATATCACACAGGAACCAAAAAAAACATAAGTAGCAAACTAACTTCATAAAACTTACCAAGTGAATCTTGGAGCAATTGTGTTAGTTTACTATTTCTATAAGGTATGTGTGTGTTTTTATGAGCCAGAGAAGCTATGACATCGCCCAAAGCTGATAAAGATTTGTTAATATGTTGTGCCTCTTTTAGTCTATCTCCAGTGGCCTCTGATTTATCTACCCTCTCACTTCCTGCTAAGTCAACCAAATGCATGCATCCACGGATGGTAGCTCCGGATGCCAAATCTCTTCCTTGAACATGAACAGTCAAGCAACTGCAAAATTGAAAATTATAAGAAAATAGTTAACACCTCTCTATGAAATACCATCACAAAAACAAGCGAGGATAACAAGGAAGTGAATTGAGTATACCTATGAGATCGACTACTGCGGTCGTTAAGGGCCGTTGCTCCAACTGCACGGTTCCTGTGCCCGAGGTTCATTAGTTCGATAACATCAGTAGTTGATGACACTGGGACAAGGCTTGCATCTGGCACACTGAGCCCTTTGTGAGAGCTGCTATGAATTTCTAATGTATTAAATGGTTAAGGTCAGCATCATCATTGAATGTTGTTTTCATTGTGAGAAAAACTTAACCAAGAGTTACAAGGTATTCATAACATTTTTTCAAAAGTGAATAAATAAAATAAGAGATGAAAGGATATTTTTTGTTTGTTCCATGAGTGACCAATAGATCCCTGACTTGCTCATTATAAATTTCAATCATTTGAACACAAACATCATAGTGAAAAGTGTCCTTTCTTTGATCGGCTATAAAAAACAAATCGCTTAGAGCCCTGTAATTTACCCCTTGACTTTTATCTGTGATCTCTTTTGGTCCGGTCTACATGTAAAAAAACATAAATTAAAAAATATCATTAAATAAAAATAAAAATTATTTCTCTCATGCAAAACTTTTAGTAGACATTACCATTGTGTAAGTTTTTCCTGATCCTGTTTGGCCATATGCAAATATGCAGACATTATAACCATCAAGAACAGATCTAATAAGTGGTTGCATATCCAGGAATACCTCCGCTGTCACACAAGATTAAATTTCAATGGTATTAAAAAACACAAATCTAAATTTAGTATTAAAAACTATACCACACTAACCTTGGGTGGCAGATGGTCCAAATACTTTGTTAAAGTTGAAGGATCTTTGTCCTTTTCCATTCCTCGGAGGAATACTAACTGTGATGGTTCCATCTTCTATACTTTCTACTGCGCTCAATTGGTTTGGTTGTCCAGGAAAGAAGGGTCTTATTCGACAATATACCCTAATACTTCCTAACAAACAAAATTACCTCTAGTTCAATTATTGGATATAAGAAAATCTTACCAGGACAAGAGTGGGAGTTGGACCTAAAAGTACCAAGCAGCCATAATCTTATTACCTTTTAGATCTTGAACTTCATTGTATAGTTTGCGATTTTCTTCCAGAACTCTATGATATCCAGAAGCAGCCTGAGCTAAGCTGTGAATATGCATTCCTACAAAGAAAAACAACATAAAAGTTATGTAAGATGCAGCTTGTAATTCACTTGTACACTAAGAGAAGGATGAGAACAAAAGCAAAAAAAAGTAATGTGATTTGATCACAGATCCTTACCAAGATTGGAAAATTCATCACGAAATTTCATTTGCATGAACTGCATACCAGCTTTTGTCGTGTGAAGAGTAAGCTTTAGCTCCTACAAAATATGCAGAAATATTTAATTAGCAGGGTGAAAAAATTGCAAGAAATAAAATGGCATTCACTATTTCATGTTCAGTACTTGAATGTCTCTTTGCTGTTGGTCAAAAAGCATTTTCTCTTTAAGGTGTTGGCTTTGCAATTCCTCAGCAGCCACATGATTTTTATGAATTTTGTTCTCCACCTAACCAATCATAAAATCATTGACTTAAATAAATGAAGCATTTCCAATCTTTAGGTTCTAGAATATGCTAATCAAAGGTTCATGTTACCTTTTTATCTGCCACGACAAACTTTGAGGCAGATCCGTTTCTTTGAGAAACATGATCTCTTAGTGTAATTTTTGTCTGTAAGTTACATAAGGAAGTAAACAAACAAGTAGCATGTAATATGACTGTCTGGTCCCTAAAAACTAATGACATTATTAAAAGGAAAAACTGTCATACCTGTTCACCTTGGCTTGCAATACGGTGTTCAAACTCCTCAACAACCTTATTCAAAACAGATTCAACCAACTGTTCCATGTAGAAGAAGAGAAGTATTAGTTAAAAAGAAGCGGTTTTAAAGACACTAAAATTTAGGCCTGGATTGAATTAGTTTTTTTTAAGCTAACAAAAAAGGTCCTTCACTAATAAGACAGGTCTTATAAGTTAACTGGTGTTCATGGAGAAGTTAAATGATAGAGTTTCTAAAAAATTGAGGTGCAAATAAGCTAATTTCAACATTAGTAAAGTCACGATGAAATTGATGATTGGAAAACAATTGAGTTTTGGAACAAGTAAATGTAACAGGTATATACTTTATAAGGTTCAAACATTATTTATAAAATTGTGATGAAATTCAGTTGTTAATGTGAAACACAGAATAGAACCACATATGCCGTTACCATTGGAATTTCTTCTGGCTTTTTATCTGACAGAATAGAACGAACAAGCTTACTCAAAGAAAGGGAACCAGGCTGCATAAATAGAAATGTGAAAATTTCATTACTCATTCTTCCTGTTCAATAAGTCTAATCCAGAATAGGTATAATAACAAAAAATCCAGCTTACCTACCATTTTACTAGACTCAATATCAGAATTAAGAGTAACCAGAGTTTTTTCATTGATTGAAGAGGTCCTTGACAAGGAATTAGTGAACGGGTCCGAGTTTTTTCTCACAAAAGATTTAGCAGAAATAGTAGGTTTGGGATTTCCACCAAATTTCCACGCACCATTTGCGCCATTCTGTTTCCATTCACAGTAGTTCTTAAGAGCCAAAACGCAATTCACAATCCTGGATGATTTTCCACCCTACAAAAAATTCATCAGAATAATTCATTATTGAATTTGCAAACATGAGGTGCTAAAAGTATTCTCTTTCAACAACAGAGTTCACAATGATACACATCTATTATTCCTAATTAACAAACTGATTTCAGGTAATAAATATCTATCTAACGCATAATCACATACTTGTTCCAGATCAGATGGCTCAAAGGTAGGAAGTCCAATTTCTTGTATGGCCACCATAAAATTTCTCACATTTTCAAAATATTGATAAGCCGATAATGGTGCTCCATTGGGGATCAGTGCAGAATCAATAGGACTCTCCACAACCTGAAAACGAAAATAAATAAATAAAATGTAAAAAATTTATTTCTTCTTAACCCTCCAGTTTCTATCTAAGGAAAAGAGCTTAATTTATCTAGATTTGCAAAGGATTGTTCCAAAACTCAAGTGCTCCCAATCAATTCAACATTAATCTTAGCAACACATTCAAGTAAATTAAATTAAATTAGGATCTAGATTCACCTTAGGAATAGCTCCAGATTGAACCTTATTAATAGCATTACATAAGATAATTCCACTTCTCAAAACAAGCCTAAACTCTTCTTCAGATGGCTCTGCTGGTAAATCTTTAGCAGCAACAACTCCGATCATTTTTCTCAACCACCCAGCCGCTTCATATCTTCTAGATGCTGCATATCAAATCAACATTTTCCATTTCCGGATAATTAAATGATCGTACAAAAAACACTTAACTATTCTTTGAGGATACAAATCTAAGTTGAAATTCAGTCAAATCAATCTAACATCTATGAAGTGCACACCCCGAACACTCCCAACTCGAGTCCGAGGCTGACACGACGGACACTATTAATAATTTTAAAAAATGAATAAATGAAGTGCAGGCGTCCGAGAGTCGGGAGTCGGACACCTCTTTTTTTCAGATATGTCCGTTTTTTTCAGTCTATTTTTCAAAAAGTGAGAAAAGTAAATAGAAAAAAATAATACCAGCTTCTTCTGCTTTTCTAAATTCTAAATCAAGATCTTTGAGGCGATGACCGTGTTGTTGAAGTACGTCTTCCACAAGAGACGCAGCTGAAAATGACATAGATGCTTCTGATTCCATAACTGATACTCGCTCACAGCACAAGAGAGTAAAGAAAAAGTTAATCAACAATGCAGAGTATCATACTCCATGTGATGAAGAAGAATAGAATGAGAATTGGGAAAGTGGAATTGCAGAGAGAGAAAAGAATCCGAGGTGAAGGAAAAAAGCGTGCGATGGTTTTTCTTGTGAAATATTATGGTTGAGGATGCAGTATTGCATGAGTGTTGTAGTTGTTACCAAAATTCTCAATCACTCTCTCACCTTTAGCTTTTTTTTTTCTTTACACATTCACACTCACTCTTACAACAAAAGCTCTCGGTATCAAAAAAATAAGTTTATACTCACAAGTCATACCGAACCTAGCTCCAAACCTCTCTCTTTTCAAACCGTTTCGTTTTGTTTCTCAAACGAACGGTCACATAGCGCGTGCATTTCAAATATCTCAATTCCTTTGTTTTCTGTTTTTATTGCGTAGTATGCTTGTTTGTTTATGGACTATGGATTACAAATTACTATTAATTATTACTGTTATTATATTATTTTTATACTTTACATTATAAATTTATTAGTTTTTTATTAACTCAAGTTTAAGGTGAACACTATTTTCATTTGAAGCTAAAATTAATTTTTAAGAAAAAAAATATTTTATTTAATTTTTAACAAAATTTAACTAAATCATGTTAATTTCATACTTTTAATATTTTTTTTGAAACGTTTTTTTTCTTCACTTTTAATTCTCGAGTAGACTATCATGTGAATTATTTATATCACATGTATTATTAACAAATATAAGGAACATTTATATTATATTAATTTTTTAAGACAATTTGGTCTCCATTATTTTTTTTAATTAATAAATTTGAAGTTTGTTAAATATTCATGAAAAATATTAGGTATCATCAAAATAAAATCAATAGAACAAAACACTATAAAATTTAAAAGAATATTATACCAACAATTACAACTTCGAAATCAAACATCATAATGTCATCAAAACTAAAAGGTTGAGATGAACGTGGATGACAAAATATAGGTGTTAATGGTCAGATTAACGAAGTTCCAAGTTTTGAATGACGTGCACCGAAAAGAGGCGATGGTGGCCTAACATGAAGAGTTGGAGGCCTATCGGGAGAATGCAATGGTGGTCTAACATGATGATGCAATGATGGCCTAACATAAAGTGGCTAGTGGCCTAACAAGAAGAGACCTTATAAGAAGATGTTGATGGTTGTGGTAATTCTTGCTAGATTAACATCACATTAAATAGTATATATAGAATAGAAGGGGCAAATTATTATTTGTGACAAACTATGTGATTGAGGTTGAGATTGTGATAAACTTTCCATAGCGTTTGTTTTTTTCTTTCTCATATCTTAGTTTGGGAGGTCATTTATATTTTTTTTCATAATGATAAGCTTCACCACACTTTAGGAAAATTACTACATATATTCTTTTAGCCTTGTAATGTTCGCTTTCAAGTATATCTTTTAAATCGATTCTTTTCTTCTATGCTTTTTTGGTCTACCAATAGATCTTTTCAGTTTGGATCGTTTTGGTTTTAGATGATCTGTAATTGACAAAAAAATTTTGGTTGTTTGCAGGTTAAATGTAATGATCATAAGTATTATTCAAAATATCTATTGTGAGTCATTAGTATACATAAGACCGGGATTTCTCAACCTTATGTATTATAGCTACAATGGCATGAATACAAGACATGCCTGACAATTGGCATATTTGACAAGTGCATGTCTGCCACACCAAGCTCAGCCCAAGGCTTATGACATGCATTTTAACATCAAGTTTATCATCACATGTTATTTGATGCATCAATTTATTGTTCTTTATCTTTAACTTGTCAATCTTTCTTCGTAGAACTGGTGGTAGTATACACTTGTAAATGCCTAAGACTCTTTTATGAGATGAGATCTTCCTCATCAAAAAAAACACCTCAACTTTTACACCATTGTCAAAATAGATTTTTTTTCTATATTTCACAATCTTGTTATTTCAAATTCTTACCCATGTTGTGTGTATCATTGTGGTTGAGATAACTTCATGTTTTTTCATTAAGTGTCTTCAATCAATTTATATGAGTTTTAAATTTTGGTTCAATTGTGCTTTTTGCACATTACCACATAATACATAGTAACTCAGCCAAGTAATTCCAAATTTGTCTATTTGTTCCTTCTCACAATCTTCTACTACAAATCTTGTTTCTTTTAGTGCCCTAGATAAGTTCTTTTTGTTAATATAGACATGATATACCTCTTTCATGATCTCATATGCTTGACTCCTTCTAATGTTAAGTTGTATCATCAAACTTTGCTTTAATTTATTTGCAACTCAATCTTTATTAGGGGACTTGTTCCTAAACACTCTTCAGAGTATTTAATCTGACAAATGCAATTACTATTATTCCATGAACAGAAAGCAACTCCACCGACATTTTTCAACACAACAGATAACCCTACTCCTTAACTTATCAATCTTTTTCCACTTAATTTCCATTCTAAGAGCAACATTCATATTTTTTTTTAAACATTCTTAAATTCTCCAACTTTATAAATTTCATCTAAACTTCTAGCCTAACTTCATCAAAAACAACATTAAAGTTAAAAATAAAAATCGGCCCAGAATCAAAAAACATATGTTTTCGTTGACTTTGACAAAATGTTTTTACACTAATTGCTTTGGCGAAAATTTTGAAAAGATCCTTAATAATCTAGTTAACTTAAATTTATTAACTCCATCATAAAATATAACTAACAATAAGAGATCCAAACAATATCTAATATTTAAAGGGAAACAAATAAAGAAAGTAAAGCACATCATATGGCTTTACTAAGACTAGCACTACAGTGTAATGTTGGTAATTAGTTCTATCAACAAACCAACCACCCAACCATAGAAAGATAACGATTGTGCTTTATTCTTAAGACATTAATATTTTCATGATTTTTTACTGTTTCAATGAGACTCATGAACCCCACCAACTTATCAACCACCGCTTGGTCACATGAAAGTTTATTGCCAGAAGTTCCTTCTCATAGATTATTTTCTTCTCTTTAATTCTAAGTTTCTAGTTTAAGGATAAAATATGAAAGATACAGTATAAATTAAATTAAGGTTGCACGTATACGTACGTATAAACAATGCGTTTTGTGCATTGAACTAGTGGTTTTTATATTGGTGGTTAACGTAGCATTTTATTCTTAAAAAGATTCAAGGTCTCTAATTTAAGTGTGGTGATATGATTACAACATTAATGTCACAAGTCACAACCACTAAGGAAGAAAAATAAATTGGAGTTAATAATGGATAAATGGGAAAACGAAGTGCCGTCTTTGGCCTAACTTAACGGAATAAAAATCATCATGTCAATTTCAAAAAAGATGATAGTATTAATAAACAATCATTTTAGTCTATAATATATTTGAAAATAGCTGATAAGTGTCCTTAAGAAACTATTTAAATTGCTAAAAAAAAACTACCTATAGAATAGAATGGGATAGGATGAAATAATAATATATATTATATTATTTATAATATATTATATTATTTATAATATATATTAAGAGATAATGGAGTATATGATATGGACTCGAATTTAAATAGAATTTGAGATGATTTTAGGGTTGCAATTTTAGATTTTGACCTTATCAGTTTTATTAGTAAGGACACTGTCCTCCTAAAGCACAACATATTTTGACCAGTGCATTTTTTAGTAAAAGAGTTAAGGATATGGATGTAAAGTTTGATATGACCACAAGACAGAAAGTGAATTTTAGTTGTTTGCAAGTCGCACATACTTAAGACTTTCTCATTACTATTCTTATTAATGGGTGATGCCAACATATGACATCGCCTTATAATTCTTTTATTTCTTGTTGATGAAGTTTACTCTATTTGTTGTAAGGCGTGTTTAGATACATTTGGAGAACACACAATTCATTGTAAAAAGTTTACAGACTTAAAATATCAACACAACTCTATTAGAGATGTCATGTTTAACATATTTCGGTAGGTTAGAGTATTTGTGAAGAAAGACATATCTTTGAATTTCTTGTTTGACCCACATGAGGGGACATCGACACTTAGGCCAACAAATATTCTGGTGTATGAGTGAGTATGAGAGAAACATATTTGTGAGGACTTGATTAGAGTTTCTCCACTGATGGAACTGAGAACATGAGATTTTACTGTAGGGCATTCAATTCTCAAAGTTGTTTCAAGTAAAGTGGTTAAACATGAGAAAACGTGTTTCGACAATCAACTTACTTTCATACCATTTTCCTTTGACACTTTTGATTTTCTAGCACCAGAAGCAGGCGATCTTTTACAGATAGCCCAAAGACTTATGAATAACAATGTTGTATATCTTAGGTCTACGAGTGTAGTTTTTAAGAGAATTGACTTTGACATCCAAAAAGAAGTATTAGTGCAGCTTTTTGCCTGTTTGCCTTTTATTTTTGTATAAACTTTATTATATTGAAATAGATCAATTATTTGTATAAAAAAACATAATGTAATTGAACATAACCTATAAAAAAAATGTATTTCATCTCAATCTACTATTTTTTATCCTCTAATTTAGGCGGAACGACAAAATTGATCTATTACATCGTGAAATATTCAAATAATAAAATAACATCTTTACTCCATTCCGCTTTATTTCATTTCACTCCTCTCAATTTAACTTCCTTTGTTTTACCATATCCAAACATGAGTTAAGTATTAGAGAGCATTTGCAAATAGACTTGCGTTTATCTTTGTTCAAGAAAACTAGTGAAGGTCAAACTCCAAACATGCATATATTTTGATCATTAGATCAACTATTTTTAAGTTAATGATATTAAATTGTGAAAAGCTAACATAATTAATTTTCATATAGTTTAAAATTTAAAATAATTTTATATACTAATACATTTTATTTGATATTATTTTGTGTCGCACTTAAATCAACAGCCTACAGGAATTTGGTATATGGTCGAGGTCGTTAAATATTCTGTAGAGAA